ATTCTAAGAGCACCATCTTGTGTTCAGCCACACCGCAGGCTGCGCCCAGCCCTGGGCTTCCCATCCTGGTTACAGTCACAGGCAGACAACAAACGTTTCACTTCTCATCAGCTCCCTTCCCATCGTCACTTCACAGAGTGCTTTGAAAAGCAGGAAAACAATTTTTAACTTTTTAAGAAGTTAACTATAACCACACAAGTTTGCAGTAAGTTCTGAGCGCCATGCCGTGGAGCATGGTCCGAGGCCAGAAGGCCTCCTCAGAGCTGCTTCTATAGGAGACTTAAGGGGCAATTGTGCATTAGAAATCATAATGTTAAATAATATTTACAGACTGTATCACTCAGCTTCCAAACAGATTGCAGGCTGAGAAAAGAGGTGATGGTGAAAAGAATCTCTCCTTTTGGTTTGCTATTCTGGTGTAGAAAAAGAGACATTATCTCAATCTCTCTCAATAAAGTCAAGGTTTAATTGTCAGCAAACAAGTATTTTTCCAATAACAAGCATTCACATTGAAACACTCCCACTGCTTGTATGGCTATTAACTTTTTACGTACTCTGAATACTTCTTTTTATAGGCGACTGATAGAACTGACCTGACTTTTTAAAAACCTGCTACAAAACCCCGAGTGTTTCTCCTGGTATCACCACGTTCATTGCAGAAGGGCCTCAGTATTTACAATGGCTTAAAACTTCAGTCTGCAAATACATTTGTAAAACCTTAACCCAGTCCAGTATTCTATTAGCACTCAAAATGGGATCTGGAAAATTAAATTACTTACCCACAGACCTGAGGGGTGGCCAGGGCTGCCAGGAGAGCTTAAATACTTCCCACAAAGATTTATGGTGCTTCTTCCTGTTTAATATGTACTCACACTTAGCACAGTGCAACGATGTGACGTGCATGTGACACACCAGGACACATCCCAAGAACAAACACTGTTGAGGAGAGGGAAATTTGTCAGTACATCTGGAGAGGCAAAAATCCTGCCAGAAAACTCCAGTAAAAAGAATTTTTTTAAGCACCAAGGTGATAATATTTCAAGCTGATGCAACACTAGTAACACCACACTTGGCACTTTCTGCACCATAGATGATTCCTGTGTTTTCTAGTGTGAATTATTTGCATCCTAGAGGAATTCAAAAGCAAGAACTTTATGTGGGCCCTTCACTACTGCCAGAGAGAAGCTGGAGTGACAAGTGTGTGCAGATTCACAGGGCAAGGGTGAGGGACTGGATGGCACAGCAGGGGACAGGAGGTTTCCACTGCATGAGGAGAGGCCACCCCAACCCACTGTAACAAAGCTTAACCAAATACTGCCAGTGGCATGGCCACTTGTTACATACTGATCGAGATCCATTGCTGGGAAAAATGTGGTTAGAAAGTGGCAGATGATCCAGCAAAGAAATTAAAACTTGGTTCTAGCCAAGCGTTCTGTTTCTGCAGTAGAAATTAATCTCTCGCCACAGAGTGCTCATCCTTTTGCCTTGTAATTATACCGATTCCTTCACTGTGCAGCAAGCAACCAACACGTGTTTGGGTTTGGATGGATCTTTGGTAAGGTGCTAAGAAAACATGAAAAAAAAATTCCAGTGTCAGCAACTGTTACATGTGAGCCGCATGAATCTCCTCTAGACTCTTCAGCTATGAATCAGAAGGTTTGTGGGCCATGTAAGAGAGAAGGCAGCAAGGCATCGTTTGGGAGCCAATCAGTGAACAAAGTTTTTCTTCAGTTTTGACTCAGGCCCAGTATGAGATAGCAGGATTATAGTTGTGGGCTGACAAATACATTACTACCTGTGTTTATGATGGCAATATTTGGCTGCTAGGGTAAAACACACAATCATTATGCCTTCTGGTAGCACCAAAAACCTTTGAACTTGACATGAGACTACAAAGAACACACCAATCCAATAGATGTTTCATATACATATTTATATATATTTCATGTACAAAGTTACATTCTGAACCCCATGGATTCAATAATAGAAATAAATACTGAAATAACTACACTGCTATATGAGCTTTTCTGCTCACAGAAAAGAAGCCTCAAGTTTTAACAGACAGCAAGTTTAACGCTGTAGTATCGATCTCGGATTACAGAGGCAAGTAAAATTCAGCGTAAAGTGTCCAACAGACAAAACTTCCAAAAATTACAGACCATAAAATGTTTAAAATATATGCTTAAAAGATTGAGAAATGTGCATCAACAAAATTAATAAAGGAAACTTAATCTCGTTAGAGGGCGGGAGAGACACTTAGTGTATAGAAAAATGCTTTGAGGTGCAACATGGGTTGTTACAATATGGCATAACCCTGTTAGAAAAAGAAACATTTAATTTCCCTAAAGAACTGTATTTGAGTTTACCGTGTCTTGTTTTACAGAGCAGGGCCTTCACAAGATCCTGTCTCAACAGGGCCACTTACAAGAGTGCTAAGTCAGGTTTAATCCTTTGGTAACTTTTTATAATACTCAACATGGAAATAAATATTCAGTTACACAGCATTTTAAAAGACACACGTTCTTTAGAACAGTTAGTATAATAAAAGAGATTTAACATTTGTTTGTTACTAAGGCAGCCTATGATAAAGTGTCTACGCTCTGCCAGCTCTATCTGATCCAACGCAGGAAGACCTTGACGAGGAACGGACGCCGCAGCAGCTTACACAACGCGTTTCACCTTCACCATGCAAACACCCTCCCCCAGGCAGGTAATGTGCTGCATTTTTTTGTGCTCGAAATGTTTCCAAACTATTAACAAGCTGTAGCTATCAAGAGATTAGTTCCTATTTGTAAGAAGCTTTAGTCGCATGAGTGTGTGCATAAAGACATTCTTGAGACAGCTCTGTCGGGGAGCATGGTCACCTCGGGCCTGGGGGTTTTATGTGCTGGATTCACCATTCCCAGCGACCTTCAGCAGAGCTGACAAATCCCAGTGCACTGCGATGACAGTAGGGACCCACTTAATCTACTGTACCTTGGGACAGGGGATAGAGTTTTTAAATGAGAAATACAGGGAAGTGCACATGCCTTTTATCTATACCCAGTGGTACATAGTTATCCTACCGTTTCCTTTAAAACCCTTACACTTTTGGACAGAAACAATCATTCTCTGAAAAATTTGCAAGGAGTTGGCCCACTGAGGTGGCTAAAATGGCACGGTGGACCAGATACATTTGGCAAAAGACCAGGTACACACTTGCCAGATTGAACTGCTCTGTTTGACAGCAGTAAAGCCGTTCAGAGAAACAAGCTCATCCCTAATTACACAAGAACCAAGGAACAGAATTGTGCGCTTTTTTTTCTGAGAACATGAGAACGTGACAATCAACCAGTGAGTAACAGCTTTGGAGACTGTTTTCCAATGACAAAAAAAGTAAAATTTAGGCAAATGGCAGAAGCAATGAAACTGCACCAGTCACAGTGAAGATTCTGCACAACAGTAGAAGTTTAGACAGCATTTTTCTTAGACATCCAATTTTGTAAGTTAATTCAGGTGTGCTTCAGGTTCAGCATACATGTCTTAGTTTTAAACAAGTCTTTCTAAGAGAGTTTACTCAGTTTACTTGCTGTATTTTTGTATCATTTTTAAGAAGCTCCCAGACTTCATATTTAAGCCAAAGTACTTTAAGAGTGACGTTCAAGATGAATTTGGAAAGCAAATTATGAACAACATGCTCTCATCACTTTTGGCATTCTGAAGAGAAAAATACTACCAAGATATTAGACATCTTTAATAAGGATTTTTACTACATAGTTCATGTCCTAAATACATATTTACGAGAGGAACAGCTGTGTACAAAATATGTCGCTTAAAAAGTATTTATACATATAAATCTAACCAATAGACCTGAATGGAGTTTTTCTGGTTTATCAGCTATGATATGCATTTGAAAAAGCTGCCTAAATATATATTTACACAATAGACCTCAGCTAAATGTGTTCATTTAAAAAAATTAAGAAAATATATAAACACATGTTTGCCTGATAGACCAGAACTGCTCCTATTGCATAAAAATGTTTAGGCAGTTTTAAAAAAGTGTTTCTATATTTACTCCTCAAACTGTTCAGTTCTCTCTGACATGAAATCAAGTTACTACACTTCTGTGCTAACCTGAACAGAACAGTCCCAATCTTTTGGGGGTAAATGCCAGATGTTTACTAAAACCCCTCAAAACTTTTACTTTCCAGAGACTAAACGAAAGAGCAAATCTGGGTTTTAAAATATTCTGAAGTACAGAAATCATGAAGTGTTTAACTTAAGTCTGACACTAATGTAGGAAATACAATGTAAAAGGAAGACAGTCTTCAACTCACACTTATGGTTAAAAAAATAGATGGTGAGTAGACAGAATGTCAGCCTAATATTAGTCTCCTGACTTTCAATTTGCTGAATCTTAGTGCTACCTGCTAACATTGTTGCTAAAGTTGTTTTTGGTTTTGTTTTTGTTTTATTTAACTAAACTGGGGTACGCAACTACAAAAAAAATACATTTTGTACCTAATTATCTGGCACTAAAGTTCCTTTACAATCTCACTTGGGCAGAATGCATTTTTCCTGTACACTCAGTCTTTTCTCATGCTCTAATCGAGGTCTCTAACCTTCACACATGTAGTGCCTCATGAGTTTGACCAGCTAAGCAGAGAAGATCATCCTAGTGCTTAGGACATAAGAAATTAAGACAAGAAAAGAACAAAACATATCCCCCGTTCAAGAATTTTACAGTTGCTTTCAAATTTAAATCATCCTAAGAACACCCTTTGGAAACCAAGTTGTTCTGTGCTGGGAAATGGAAAAATACTACGCTCAAAATTGCTCAATATGGAGGGCAGAAGTTCTCAAACTTTAAGGTTCAATAGTGAAAAGGTGATTTTATTTAAATATTGTCGTCTTAATTCCTATACATTCCCCTCTGCCCCCCCAAAATTCTGACAAATGTAGCAAATTAAACCATATACACTATGTAAGCAAGATTTTCCAGGTTTGAAAATAAAAGCTGAAATTTACAGTTTGCTTTAGCCCTCACTGAGTATTTGGGTGAGTTTTAACAATTCATTTTATAAACTGGTCAATTTTTTTACTACTCTGGGAATAACTTTGCTGTTTTACTCAATGCATTATACAGTGAAATGAAGCTCAGTTGTAATAAAGCTCAACTCAAGTGAGACTACCAAAGAAGTGAACTACATTAGATTGCTGTGGTACAGTAAAACCAATGTCTCAGTTGCTGACTGTGGGGTGCACACCAGTCTGGAGACAGACCCATTTTCATTACACTGTTCCATGTAACACGGGTGCAGTAAAACAGCACAAGCTAATTCCTGTATAGTTAAAGGTATGACAGATTTGCAATATAAAGTTAAACAGCAAAGAAATGCTTCAACATCATGTAGTGAAACAGGTTTCACAAAATAAAAAACCATGCAGAAGCTTTTTTTTTTTGCTTTTTTTTTTTTTCTTTATCTTTTTTAAGGTCTCCAGCTGCATCCTACAGGCTCACTCACTGCCACACATTACTTGCCACACTATCAAGTGACTTCTCTCAGCTTTGGCTACAGAAGGTTCAAGTTGTAGAGCTTCTCCAAGGAGTTCAGATTCTCCACCTTCATCACCTGAGAAACAATCATGCAGACAATAAAAACCAGTATGAACACCAAATGTAAAACTAGATGTCACTTGGTTTGTTACAAGAAAAACACTACATTCAAAACTGAATTTATGCATTACAAACAAAGTCTGTTATGTAATTATTTAGGCCTAGTATTTCAATGGTCACATTCTTCAGTTCTAACCCAAAAATGGGCTGCAGTTTCACAAATGTCCATATTCTACACATTTCATTACCTATAACTCTTCAAGGCAGAGACACAGCAACCTCATTTGCAAACCTGCAGCACCTCCCAGGCAGAAATGGAGATGGTCTGCTACAAGAAAGCGTGCTAGCAGGAACACATAACCCATGTGAGTGTGCTGGACAGAAGGGCAGTAACTGAGCACAAGTGAGACAATGCAGCATTCACATCTATGATGAACCTTTCCCTTTCTTCCCTCTTGTTCCAGCTATCCGAGCTGGTCACCTCTCTGCACACACTGCACGAGACAGCCTTAAGCCTAACTCTCCATTACTGCTCTTCAAAAGAGAAAATCAGTGTTGTAACTGCCTCTAAACTCTTGGTGACATGAGCTGACTTGGATCAAAGGCAACAGACTAACCACCAAACAAAACTGGACGTAGACGTTAATAAACACGAATACAGAGGCAGTCTTGTGGTACAGAAGAACATTGGTTTAATCAGAGGAGATGGGAACTGGCCTACAACTTCAGGAAGGTTAAGTCACAGTCTGGCTGGTTTTCTGGTTAGACTGCTTCAGAGGTCTGAGGAAGTTGCTCTTGAGGCAGTTTGCAGTAATGTGGTAATGGCTGAGCTAATGCAGCTGAAGCACTGACACCTGAGTTCATGGCTTTGCATTATGCCACAAGGACAGCAAACCACACTCTTGGTATGTGGCTATACCAGCTAGTTTGGAATAAGTGCAGAGTTTTTACTATGCTACAGTGTGGCACAGAATTGCCCCAAGTTCTGCCTCCCATATAACTCCACTGAGGTCACAAGCAGGAGCTTCTTCACTGACTAGTGGGATGACAGTTTGGGGTGGCCCCCATGGTTTTTTCTTTGTAGTGATTTTTGTGAGTTCTTTTCTTGTTTGTTTTTGAAAAGCATTATAGACAGATTTAGGTAAATGATCAGAACCAGGTCTAGGAGTCGCGACTCCTTTTTAGGCACTTTTTGTCAAATGAACATTTTTAGACAGTCAACTCAGAGGTCATGACTTATATGGAGGAAGAGAAGTTGAAAAGGGGTGTATGTTTGTATGTGTGAAAATAAAGACACTTCTATCCTTGTGCTTGCTTAGCAAAGACCATACACAGACTGACCACACAAATGGGCTCTGCAATCACAACACAAGTTACTATATGGCTAATGACTTTTCACTATGAAGAGGTTACAACTGATTTTCATCTGGATTTCTTACCCATTCTGAAGTCAATATATCCTTCTCCACCACTTATCACCAACATTGATTTTAAGGGACTCTGGCTGGAGGACTCTTGGGCTGGCTTATCAGCTGTTAGCTCTGTTCCACCACTACTCTGTGGGCAAACAACCTGACCTGGATTAAAAACAGAATACATTTGTATGCCACATCTCACAGAACACCACCACCTATATTTGAGCGCTGGATGACATCCTTAATGCCTACTGATACACTTAATTTTGGATTCTAGTATCTCTTCAGCAAGGGACAAAGCTAACTTTGCTTTTATCTCATCTCTCTAAAGAGACAAAGAATCTGTTCAGGTCAGTTCAATGGAAATCAGAGAATTAAATGCCTCTTGATAGATTCCACAGCACAGGCCTGCAGACCTAGAGAATGACATAGGAACAGACTCGAAGACTTCCTGACACACAACTGAAATGATTGAGTGCATGTCAGCACATTAAGCAAACGTCTGTCATCTGTTTCCAGCACAAGAGGTGCATAGAAGCACTGACAGGGTGTTCAACCAGCGCTGCAGCTTTTAGGAAACTTAGCTTTCTCAGCTGAGATTCTTTCCTTTGGGGGCTTTTCCTTTAGCAGCTCATCCTACCTGCAGGATGTCCAGCTCTTAAACTGGACCTTACGTCAGTTAGCAGATATAACTACTGATGGAAGCACAACACTTCTCTGTGGCCAAACCCTTTTCCTCCCACTAGGTCAGTGCTGCACTGAGGAACTCAACTCTTGTAAATTAAATATTACCAATTGCTTCTGAATGCACCAATTTCATATGCGTGCTACCTTTGCCCAAACACTGTGTTTAACTAGGCAAATGAGGGCGACAAAGAGACTTCATTTGAAGAACAGTAACAAAACCTTACCAGGTACTGCAACAAAGAATTTAACAGCATCACGGTGCCCATGGAAGCAAAGCTGAGCATGTGCCATTGAGCAATAGGGAATGAATGTTCCTGGAGTCACTTTGTCACTGTTTTCATCACCATACACACGTATTACACTTCCCGGACGGTTTCCGGAGCCTGCTGCTGCTTTATTAGCTGTAAAAGAAGAAAAGTGTTTTCTACTTGAAAATACAAATTACAGAAATGGTTATTTGTTAAAAAAACTTTATGGTACCATCTAAAAGCTAAAGCCAACTTAGGTAAAAATGAAACAGGAGGGCAGCAATGCCAATTCAAGACAGAGCTGGAAAGAAAAAAAGATCGCATGCTTCGTTATTTTAAGTACATCAGAAAATGGAGCAGGATTCTTATTAGTCTAGCATAAACACCAGATTTTAATATCCTACTTTTGGAAACAATTTGTGAAAGGACTGTATCTTTCATAGAAAATAAGTATCTCTAATGTGTTTCAGTATGAGCAAATTCGATGTACTTCAACACAGAATTAAGGAATGTTTCATTCCAACTAATCATAGGGTATCCCCTTGCCAGAAAAAAATTCTCTAAAAATAGCCACTGGTGGGCATGAAGGAGCTACCCTATTGTAGTTCTACATCTAGTTTTTACTGAGAAGTTTTAAAATCCATTAAAACAGAGAAGTACTCATGCTAGACATACAAGCCATCTCCATTCCAAAGACTATCAAAGTAGTGAAAGAAACAGTGACTTGTAACAAGACAGTAAATGATGTGGATTAATGACAAAGTTATAAGATATGGTATCACATTGGCTGGAAGAAAAACAAAGTCTGTATGAAAGGTCAGCTGCAACACAGGATGATATACTAAACTGCTGAGCAGATTGGTGGCCATTTAGCAAACATAAAACTGCTGCAATGCAGTAACTGCAAGTGGAAAAACATTTAGGAACATACAAAGGGTAAATCTATAAGGAGTGGGAAACAGCCTCAAAGTGGCTATTAGAAGCCTGAAAATAGATTTTTGTTCAGGATCTGCACTTACCCCTCAGCCCCAGTAAACGTCCCTGGTGGAGGATTACAGCTAAAGTGAGAAAGGAGGAAAGGGGAAATGGATAGGTACGACAGTAGAGGAGAAGGATTAATGAGAACCCACCACTCTTGTATTTTGGTTTTTGATAAGGTAGAGCTTAAAATTTTAGCTCCTAAAAACAGTAAATATCTAATTACAGAAAATTCAAAAGTCAAAGAACGGCATCTTGTTATAAAGGTTTCAGTACAAACGGACAATGAAAGCACTGTCACTTTCATGTGCTTTAACACTATCAAGTTTGTTATTGATTAGCAATGTTTCCCCTTTCTCTCTTTAAGGAGGCTACCAAAATAATATATAACTCCTCAAGTTTTCAAGTGCCCTTTCAAAACACCATCTGCAGATCTTGAAGGTGCTCTGCTCTTGAGACCCAGGGAACTGAGATAGGCAATTTGCTTATGCAAGGATATGACTGCTTTTGAAAACCATGAATATTTTAAGAAGGGTTCTCAAGCCCACTATCAGGCTACCCACAAATAGTTCTTCAGATTCATGAACAACTGACAACTGAAAGGAAACTGAACAGCTTTAAAAGTGTGTTGGTTTGGTTTTTTTTGTTTTCTTTTTTTTTCCATGTTCACTACCATTTTAAAACAAACTCCTCTGGAAACATTATTAAATTAACCTTGATGCAAATTAAGAGCTATAATTCTTGAAAGCACAATTCAAACTATTTCAAATTCGTGATAGAAGTATGTCCTTCTTTAGTACATTCATGCAATGCAAAAAAAGACATTTACTGAATGGATGGACAATGTAATGGAACAGTATGAGAAACAATGCATGTATGTGCTGTTCAACAAAACAGATACAACACAAAGATTTTAACTATTGAGTTATCCTAAAATTTTGTCAGATGCTACTACTTTCAACAGTGCAATTAGGAATATCAAAGTTCCATATTTCAGCTTCTGAAATTTCTATCCATGTGCTTTAACTTTAGTCTCAGGAACAAGTGTTGTGTTTTTGTTTGGTTTCCTTTTTTTTTTTTTTTTCCTGTTTTAAATGCAATGAATTTACACAGATTCTTACCAAGCTTTACCTATTTAGGAAAGCTTTACCCATTTAGGATTTGTTTTGCCCTTGAACTGGACTGTTCCCTTCTCCTGAGGTTCAAGTGCCCGTGTTTGGATGCTTCCTCATGCACCCCCAAGTAGTTTCAGCCTATGACAAGAGTTCGGGGTCTGTTATTAAGCAGATATCTGGATGTGCCTTATTGGAATTTTATCTAGAAGTTAGTGCCTTGTTTGGAGGATGTGTTTACAACTTCCATAACTTTGAACACGTCCCTTAAAGCAGTTGGCACTACTGATATTCCAGTTCTTTATACCAGCTTTGTGATGAATTCTCAAGAGCTGAAGCCAATCAAATTGTATTAGCAACAACACCAACTCATTCAAATCAAACAAAAATCTACTTGGGTGATCAAAAATAACATTAATGAGAAAACTAAAGCCATCTCTTACAAGCAATAGACTTCTATACATGCTGCTAAAGCCCATAACACCTCTAAGCCTTCAACGTGTCTCATTCAAGCTGCAGCAACACTGCTCAAACTGAAGTACAGGAGATTTTGGAGATGTGCTTTTTTGCTCAGAGGAAGTATAGCCATGTACAGAGATTAGGTGCTAAACATCACAGGCCAAATCTGTTACAAACCTGGAAGACTCAGACCTGGCAGTAAAGCTTTCTACCCATTAGCAAGCATCTGAATGGCATTTAATGTTCTCTTTTTGTGTCCATAGCATATTGCACAGTGCTATTCATTTATATTTTACTTACTTTCTGTTAATGGAATGGAGATGATGACACCATTTCCTGTTCCTACCCATAAACGATTACAAGACACCATAAGAGCTGTGATTCTCACAAATGAGAATCCCAGTTTACCAGTACCTAAAAACAAAAGATGCTTTTCATCAAAAATTATGAGCACGGATAATTTTAGTTCCATATCAGCAATTTTTAACTCCAGCTCCCAAACCACGCAGACAAGTAATTCCCTCCCACTTCAAACAGACACAAAGACAAGTAAGTTGTAAAGATCACCTACAAGGCTAAAACACTGTTAAATAAGTTGTGAATCTATACAGAAAGAGACTGACTAACTGTGAGAAACCACAGAGGTATGAAGGCTCCATAATGCTGCATGGTAAGGTCTTTTGGGGGTTAAAGCACTAGGGCAGCTTTTCCAACAAAAAAAAAAAAAAAAAGGTGAGTTTATGGATGTAAGATAATGGTTTATCATCCACTAAAATTTCTCATCCATTAGCACTATGAGGAGAAAGGAAAAAGGCTGATCAGGAACAGCACAGTAGTTACTTGAGAGGTATTTCCTATGGCCTAATCAGCTGTAGTAGTTGTTTTATGTAGGTGGTCAAACTGCTCTTCTATAAACATGAATAAAAAAAATCCGAAAGCTTGTTAACTTCAATAACAATAAAAAATTGCTGTTTTGCATTTGTATTTTCTTGAAAGAGAGGCATATTTTCCAGGCAAGTAAAGGGATTCTTCCCACTCTTAGACTTAAAAAGGCATTAGTACAGTAAAAAATTGCAGGATTTTAGAGTCTTTGTAGATGCCTGTCCAACCCAACCATCATTTTCCTTGTTAGTCCTGAGATTTTAGGGACATGAAGTAGGATCAGACTATCAGAATAGGTATCACCCACATTGTGCATCACAGACTGACTCAGGCTTCTACTTCCAGAGTCAAGTTTACACAGAGTTTCACCAACCTTCCACCCACCCTTGCCTCTAGGCTGCAGTGAGAATTGCCTGACCCCTAACAGGAAAACTCCAAACAGCAAGAAGTGTAAGAACACAGTTTTCCTTATCAACTTACCTAGCATTTTGCTTACATAAGGTTCAATGTCCACATCTTGTAGATGCTGATAGGTGTGCGCATGATAGAGACGCAGGGTGGAGTCCAACCGAATAGACACCCAGACCCCATCACCCACCCATGCCAGCTGTCTCACTTGGCTTTCTCTTCTTGGGTGTGCATCAAAAGACTTCTATGAAAGATTGGATTTCAAATTAGAACACAAAAAAAGTAAAGAGTAAGAAAGACGCTTCTGTTACTCTTGCACTGTCAGCACTGGCAGTTTTCTTAAATCATCTACAACCCTCTGATGTGCAAGACCACCAACAGATAGAGTGTTTAGCTTACCAACAATTACCATATGATGCTGGGAAAGTAATAGTAAGGATGCTGATTCCCTTCTCTGGAGTGTGATCTCAAAGTTACAGCTTCCTACTTAATCTTTATTTACGTATCATGTCCCAGCCTAATCTTCTGTCTCCATTGAACCTGGAGCCTTTTTGGTATGAGGTACTCCTGTCACAGCACAAGATACATACACCCAGAAAAGTGTTTTTCTTCCTAGTTCTGTCAAACCTTGGTCTTGCACACAAGCCCGCCTGTGCAAAATACACGTAATCCACCAGCAAAACAACTTCACTGTTGTACAAATTCCTTAATTTCACTTTTTATATATATATA